AGCAGCAGCACCGCCGCCACCACCGACTCCTGCACCACCATTAAGAAGTGATATTTTGACCAGGGCTTGTTGCTTCCCAGATGAGCAGGGGACAGCTGCATAATAATATTCGATCTACATAGGTATGTGTGTAAACACATATGTGTATACATGTGTATATATATACACATCTCAGATGCGACCACATATGCCACAGCTACGGGCATCTACATTGACAACCGATTCGTGCCCAACGTCATACTTCGTGAGGCGATCCCAATGAGGTATGACCAGAACGGGATCGACTTGGGCGCGAATGATAGTGAGGATGAACTGCGTGCGCAGTCCTTCGATGACCAAGACACTCCTCATTCTCACATAGGAACATGGCGAACCAGTGCGGCATCAACCACGGCAGTGTTCATCACAATCTCAAGGGGCTGAGGTTGACGGAATGTTCTGTAGCACCGAAGGCTCACGCGCAGCATTATACATTGTTCAATACATCTGATTTGGGTGACGACGCGCTCCATTAACACCTGCTTCGGACAAACATTTGTTTTCCCCATTTTCCCTGTCCGCCTCCTCTCCCTCCTCCCTCCTCCTTCCCTCCTTTTGCATGATTCGTTCCTTTTGCCCTTCTTCCCCATTTCCTTTGGGACGGGTAGGGGCGTGCGAAGTGGAGCATGGGAGCTGGGGGGAGAAAAGAGGGATGAAGATCCTCAGAAAGGGGCACGGTCCGCAGTAGTGCACCGAAGATGGTGCAGACCCCCAAGGGAACCAAGGCAGATGCAATATACCTCCTGTAGAACTTCTGCGGATCTTCCGCAACCTACTCGTTTGCAAGTCGTTGGCCAGTTGTGCTACACGGGTGATCTCGAGCGAAGCCTCCGAGCCATTGGGGGTCCTTCCAAATCGTTCCACATCGAGCGATCCGTAGTACCGTAGCACGGTTCCATCTTTAAAACGCGTGGCATTCCCTGCAGCGACAAAACAACACGCTGAAAGATGGGGAACCCAGCTGGGTGGCGCTACGTCCTTTTTCGGCCTCCCGAGGGGCGCCACGACGCTTTACCACTTCGCCACCAGCAGAAACCCTTACAGCCGAGAAGCGAAATCTGATCCTTATTAGGGTGACGCCGTCAGTGCCGATCTGGCGCGTGTCGATCCATCAGGAAGCAGCAACGATGGGGGAGACCCCGAGGGGCACAAGGGCGAGCAGGGGGCCATGCCAAGCAACGAGAGGCGATCGGCGAGCGCCCCAACTTCCGCAAGCGGGAGCAGGGAGCGCACCGTTCACCAACCCGCCGCAAGGTACAGGCCCCCGAAGGGTGGAGGAGACGCCAACGGCGGAGGAGGAGCGGGAAAGGCGAGAGGAGCGGAAGAGACGAACGACGGACGACGACGACGAACGAAGAAGACGACAGCATAAGGGATCGTTATAGGCGGAAAAACTCAAAGTGCAAGCTAGCTGCCCGAACTCGGGCGGGAGGGTGAATCACATTGTAAGTGGGCGCCAAAAAACAAAACACCTCTCCAGGAGGCGGAGGGGGGAGGAGGGAGGGAAAAAGGGCGCCTACAAGAAACCCTCGTCTTCCTCGGCGAGGACGTCCCGGGCAGCTGCGGCCGCTCCCCCGGCGGGGACTTCCTCCAGGTGACGCTGGAGGACGGCGCGGGCGGAAGCCCTCCAGATAGCCACCGACAGCTGCTGGAAGAGACGCGTCGCTCCTGCGCCCGGCTCCTTGCCCAGGCGCGCGTCACTGGCCCGTGCTAGGCGGCGGAGCGTCTCGGCCCCCGTCGGGCCCCAGCCGCCCGTAGGTTCTGCGACCAAAGGGATGAAGAGAATCCCCTGCTGCCTGCAGAGGACCTCCGTGTCGAGGTGGGTGCGGTTGACCACCTCGTACGCGCTTGCGGCGCATCCAATCCCTTGGACGGCCAGCCCCCTGGCAGCCTGCCGGTGCGGAGAGGAAGCCGCGAAGTCGAAGGCGGCAGGCGTGCCTAGGTGCCAGCTTGGGATGTACACGTCGGCGGGGCGACGGCCGAAGGCGCGGTCGTCGTCTGGGCGCGGTGGCAAGAGCCCCAGCCTCTCCAGCTTTGGGTTGCAGTCGGCTGCGGCGGCGAATCGCCCTACCAGGTTGCGCGCGGCGTTGTGCCGGTACACCCGGTCTCCCGCGCCAGCGCAGAGGCCAGCGTGGCGCCCGTGCTGGTCGCAAGGCTCATCGCAGCAAGGGCAGAAATGGTCCGTGTCATAGACCTGGAGCAGGAGCCGCCTCCGCAGCTCTGTGAGGAACTCTTCCGGCTTGAAGAGCAGCCCCAGCCTCTCGTTGGGCGCGGCCTCCAGGAAGCCCGACGCGCCGGGGAGCATCTCGGACACGATGTCCGCGCGGTCGGCTGCTTCGAGGTTCTCGACGAAGAGCTGGTGGCAGTGGTCGTCAAGCGCAGCAGACAGGTCCTTCTGCCTCGCCGTCTCCACAGCGTCAGGGCGCAAGCTGGTAGACTGTGGGAGCTGCGCGTTGTACGCAGAGAGCAGCTCCAGCCCGCGTGCTTGATATCCTCCGGCGCCCAGTTGTGCGCCGATTCCAGTTCCGAGCACAGACGCCGCGTGGCGCCGAGGCTGGCCAGGTACGCGCCCGCCGCGTGCTCCTCCTGGCGCCACTGGGCGTCCGTCAAGTACGCGGTCAGCAGACACCCTAGCGCGCCCCGCTGCGCGGCGTCGTAGCCTCGGAGGGCGCTAGCCTGCAGCTCTGGCGGCGCGGTGCGCGCGCTGTAGACGAGCTTGCCAAAGCTCGCGCAGTGCCGCAGCAGTAAGAGGGCCACCTGCGGGTGCAGGGTTTGCCCCGCCTTGGCAGCGCGCCGCTCCATGAAGGCCTTCGTGAAGGCCTGGCCCCCTATCGGTGCGCCGAGAAGCCAGAAGCCGCCTCTCAGGACTACTCGGCTGGCGCCAGCGTCAGGGTCTGTCGTGGCTGTTAAGGCTGTCGTGGTAGCCGCCGTGGTGTGCGTCCTCGTGAATGTCGCCGTGAAAAAAGTCGTAGTTGCCGTGGTGACCGCCGTGGTGTGCTTGCACGTGAGAGTCGCTGCGGTGGCTGCCGTGTATATCGTGGTGGCCTCTGTGGCGTGGTTGCTCGTAGGACGTGTTGTGGTGACTGCCGTGGCGGCCGCCGTGATGTGTTTGCTCTCTTGGGAGGTGCTGCCGTGGTTGTCGTGGGGGTCGCCTTGAAGTGCTTGCTCGTGAGAGTCGCTGTCGCTGTCGTGGCTGACGTTGTATCCGCCGTGTGGTGCGTCCACTGAAAAGTCGCTGTTGCGGTAGTCGTGACAGTCGTGGTGGCCGCCGTGGTGTGCTTGCTCGTGGGAGGCACTGCTGTGTCTGTTGTGGTTGCCTGTAAGAGGTGTTCTCGTGGCTTTGGTGGTGTTTGCCGTGGTGTGCGTGTCCGTGGTGGCTGTCGTGGTGCTTGGTGGCTGTCGTGGTGGTTGTCGTGATGCTTGGTGGTTGCCGTAGTGGCTGTTGTGGTGCTTGGTGGCAGTCGTGGTGGTTGCCTTTGTCTCTGTCGTGGTGGCTGTCGTGGTAGTAGTCGTAGTGGCTGTTGTGGTGGCTGTCGTGCTACTTGAATGCTGGTCGGTAGTCTGCTGGTCGTTGGTCTGCTGTTCGGTAGTCTGCTGGACGGTCGTCCTTGGACTGCTGGTAAATGTTCTGCTGGTCGTTAGTCTGCTGTTCAGTGGTCGATAGTTTGCTGGTCGGTGGTCGGTGGTCTGCTAGTCGTGGGCTGCTGGTTGTTGATCTGCTGATCGGTGCTTTGCTGGTCAGAGGTCTGTAGCCTGCTGGTTGGTGGTCTGCTGGTCGGTGAATCGGCAGAGTAGCTGGTGGGCACCGTAATGACCCTGACAAGGTGGCCCGCGGTGGCGCAGTAGTCGGTGCTTTGGTGTCGTGTATGTCGTAAGCGGCAGTGTCTTTGTAGTCATGGAGTTCGCCTGCAGCCCGTGACGGCGGAGGCGGCACCTCAGGTAAATGGATGCATGGCGCATCATACATTGGAGGGGGCGGTACAAGCCGTAACAGCGGCAGGATTGGTAGATAGGGCGGGAGTTGGAGTCGGTGGTCAGTGGGTCTGCTGGTCAGTAGTTGGTGGTCTGCTGGTCGGAGTTTTGTAGCCTACTGGTCAGTGGGTCTGCCAGTCCGTCGGTGGTCGGTGGGTCTTCTAGTCGGTGGGTGATTAGCTGACTGGTCTGCTGGTGGCCGTCGGGTGTGCTGTGTGGTCTGCTGGGTGCGCTGCTGTGTTGTCTGCTGCTTAGTCTGCTGGTCTGCTGGTCGGTGGGTGGCCAGCTGGTCTGATGGATGGTCAGCTGGGCGGGCTGCTGGTCGGTGAGTCTGCGGGTTCGGATTGCGAGTGCCATGCCAATTATTGTCACCACATTTGGAGGTAAGCTGAGCAACGTGTATGATACGTGCGCTTTTTCTTTTGCTGCCGATGTCGATGCAAGTGATAAATGGTCCCAGATCTTTGGCGGAGATGTGAGTACGACATGTTCGTGCCGAGAATCCGGTTCTATGAAGTGCCTTGACATTGTTTGCTTTGTCCCTCTGGCCTTATTCAAGTTAAGTTGGACGCTGTCGATAAGAACAACACCTGCGGTCCATCTTGGCATCAACGCCCGGTGAGGGGAAGTACGAGAAAACGAGAAATCAGGAAACGAGGACGTAACGTGTGCGACTGTGCGTTGGGGGGTATCTCGTACGATACGCGGCTGTCCACGTGAGGGCGACGCGCATAGCCCCAGGCCAGCTCGGGCCGTAGACTTCCTCTTGCTCCTCCTCCTCCTCCTTCTCCCCCTTCTCCTTCTCCTCCTCCTCTTCCTCCTCCTCTTCTCGCTGATGCGGCTCCTTCCACGCCCGCCTTATCATCCGCCTCGCGCATGCTGTGTTGTGGCCGCCGACCCGATCTGTCGCTGTCGCTGTCGCTGTCGACGATGACGCCCACAATGACGACGACGACCAGCGGCGCCTTGAGGCGCTCCCCCCCGCGCAGGCGGCGCTGGCCCTGAGGCGCGCTCTGGAGGGTGGCGGGGTGGACGCCGCTGCGCCCGCCGCGGCCCTGCAAGGGGCGCTGTCGGGCCTGGCGCCCTTCGTCGTCGTCGTCGTCGTCGTCGTCGTCGTCGTCGTCATCGTCAATGCCGTCGTTGTCGTCGTTGTCGTCGTTGTCGTCGTCGTCGTCGTCGTCGTCGTCGTCGTCGTCGTCGTCGTTGTCGTCGTCGTCATTGTCGGCGGATGAGGAGGAGGGGGAGGAGGAGGGGGAGGAGGAGGAGGAGGAGAAGAAAACCGAGGAAGGAGGGGACCCAGGAGGAGGAGGAGGGGGAAGAGAAGGAAGTGGGCGAGGCGAGGAATGGTAACAACGAGCAGGACGAGGAATCATATTGAAGAGCGGAAAGAGGGGAAGATGAGAACGAGGCTGAGCCCTCCCTTTGCCTTCTCTGCCTTCTTGCCGCGAGGGCGCGGGGAATGGCGTCGCGGAGGGGGGGAGCTCACGGAGCAGAGCGGTTCTTGACCCCGCCCGAGGTGCCAGGCGCGCCCGCCGCCGGGAAGAGGAAACGGAGCGAGTGACGCTGCCGCGAAGAAAAATGCAGATTAGGGAGCAAGAGGAGGAAGAGGTGGACGGTTGAGGAGGGCGAAATGGAGGAATGGACGCAGGGAGGAGGATGATGATGATGAGGAGGAGGAGGAGGAGGAGCTCTCATGGTTTCCCAAGCTCTTGGCAACAACAAATTTGGTGATGGTTCATTTCGTAGATTCTCGACCCTCTCCGCCCAGCGCCAGAGAGTGGACATGTGCGTCTCCGCGGACAAAAGTTTGGCGCAGATACGTCAGGAAGATGCTGTCTGACCAACATAATGGTCGCACAGTCTTCGCCGACCGCACCACGAGCAAGATCAGATCTCGTCGCAGTGGCGCGCTCGCTTTTATCAATGTCACTCCCCGCCAGAACGAGAAGCCTGTCATCGAGTGCGACCCGAAGGCGCCGGGCGCCCTCAACCTCTGCAGGGCCGACGTCGCCATGGGTATCGAGCGGATCTTCTCTGCGTCTGAGTCGGCTGAAGAGTGGAGTATTTAACAAACTATTCCAGCTGATCAGACTGCTATCTCGTTCGGCAGCCCCTCCTGTACCTGGTCTTGGTTTGGCCACCTGGAACGCTCGTGCTCTTAGTCATCACCAGTCAGAAACGAAACGAGAAGCCGCGAGCTAAGGTACCTACGCTGACTCATGGAGGGGGTTCAATCTCGCTGCGAGTCAAGGGTCGCACGGCAACGTTGATGAGGTCCACGGTTTTCAAGTTTCACACGTCAAACTCGCAATTTGATTATTGGGCCTCGTTCTGCGGGGACTCCAGGAGGAGAGGAGTCACCGCGTTTTTCCCTAAGCTCTCTTCGCGGGCAGGTGTAGGTACCTAGTCCGCGTCCGACGTTCTCATTCCTGGTAGAGTATTGCTTGCTGAGTTTGACGTGGGCACCTGCCAGAACGCACAGCACACATGTGCATCGTGCACCTCATTAGAACTACTCATGGGCACGCGGCGCGACAGATCACACGTATCAAGCTCATACTGCACCAGCGCGTTGACACATCCCGTCGCCGTCCTGATCATTACTTCGTCATCTTGGCCGGAGATTACAATCTAGCGGCGGAAGCACTTCGGTCGGCTCTGCCATATCTGGAAGCTCACGGGCCCCTCACTCAATGGTGTAGGCACAGGAGATCCCCTTGGCACTTCCTTTTGCAGCAGCTCCTACAGGTAATCTCTGACGAACGGATTCGTTATACTGGACACCATCAGCGTGCGTCGACGATCGACAGGGTGTTTCTTACCGCGCCCATTTGTTTTTTTTTACGCATATGCATGTTTCCGCGAAGGTTCAAGACTTCCCCGAGACGCTAGAGCAGCAAGGCATTTCGGACTACGCTTCGCTCCAGGTGACCTTGCAGCATCGACCTCCTCAGCCCGCTCATTCTCTACCTACCCCAAAGGCTATAGTCAAACATCCTGATCTGCAGCGCTTCTTGGAAGAAGTCGGGCTGTTTGGGATGTTTGCGAAAGAGCCGACGAGTGCAGCTAGCACAACGATACTTATTCGATCGATTGCCCGAGCGGTCTGGCGACAGGATCTTACTCTTAGCGCGGCGTCTCTTACGACGCGAGCTAGCCCTCGAGTGCGTCTCGATCGATAGCGACGCGCTCCGCATCACCCGATGCAGTCCTGCGTCTTTCGCCGAATCTTTAGGCGCCCTCCAATTCGCAGACGCTGAAGAGCAGCAGCCGCGGAGAAGGGAACAGCTGCAACGTTGTGGCTTGCTGGCCTCACATAAGAAGGCACGCAAGCAGCTGCGCCTACTCGCTGAGCGCAGTAGGGTTTGGGCCCCGTTCGACAAGAATGCACGACTCGTGGGGCTACGAGCGGATGGATGGATATTGGCCTGTCCTACCAGCATCTCCTAGCGTATTTGTCAGCATTGAGTTTCTGTTTTTGCCCCCAAGTCAGTTGTCATCTTCGCTGGCGACCATTGCCTCGCCAAGTTCGCAAATATGACAGACCTTCGTGACCCCCCTCCTCCCAGTTACCACGCTGTCCAGAACAAAATGCGTCGGCAGATGGATTCAGGGCCCGGTCCAGATGCCCTTCCCTACGGAGCTTGGCAGGCCTCAGAATTGTGTACTCAAGTATTTTACGATGTTTTGTGGTGGCATTTGGAGGGGAACCCTATGCCTGTAGGATGCAACAGGCTCCTCGGCGCATTCGCACCGCCAGGTGAGGGCCCCGAAGACGCCCCGCACGGCGTGACTCGACGCGTCTCTGACCACCGACCCCTGGGCCTCAAAGCACAGACAGCAGGATCGTAACGTGTCGCTACTCGTCGTCTCAATTGTTCTCTCCCTCGAGTGTACATTTCAGTCGAAGAGGGTTCGTGGTCAATCAGCAACATTGTCGAATTGGATGCGTTCAGCAGGATCTATTCAATTCAAGACGACGCCACCGCAGCCATGTCTGTCTCTTAGTGGGATGCGATTTTGGTTCGGCCTTTCCCAGTCTTGTTCGCAGATGGGTCCTCAAGGTACTTCGCGCTGCGCATCTGCGGCCCCCCCTTCGCGCTGTTCGCCCAGTTCCACTTCGAAGGTGCGTGCTGCTACGGCGCTATGAGCTCTTCGCTCGCTCTTCTCCCTCGGATCTGCAGTGGCGTCATTCGGGGCTGTCCGAGCTCGGGGTGTTTGTCCGCGTTGTCTGCCGGCCTGTTCATGGCCGATTTCGACGTTTTCATGTGCGTGAAAGATAAGGGCGTGGTCAGAGCCTGCGCCGACGACGTTGGAGCTGCACTGCGTCAGTTCGAGCGGCTTCGCGTTGCGCGTCGCGTTTTCGAGGTGGCAAAGCGCGCGGCGGCCCCGATATTCAAGATCGAGAAATGCGTGATCGCCCCCCTCTGCGGTGCCCTGACCCCTCGCCTGAAAGACAAGTGCTTTGCTGCGATTTATAGTTTGACGCCGGCTTGGACATGCATGGTTGTGCAGGGAGCCCTGAATTTCCTTGGCATGTGGAATGGGCCAGCAGCATTTGATCACAGTTGGAGGGCCCCAGTAACCCAGTGGAGAGCGAGAGCCCTTGAGCTGGTCACAACTGGTGCCCCGCTGAGAGTGATTTACTACCTCTACCCTGTCCGTGTCTCATCTGTCCTCTCGCGCGTCAACGTCTCCCCGACTCCGCTCACCGCTCTGAAGATGCCGTTTTTGGCCGCCTTTTATCGTGCGCCATTCTGTGCCCGTCCACGCGTGGGTTGGTTTCAGTTAGTGTGTTGGGAAGGCCCAAAGATCCCCGGCCTTGTTGCTCAGAATGCGGCAACAATAATGGGAGCTGACACGCTGCGCTTCACTGTTTGGAGTTCACTCGTTCCCCTGATGAGTGCTGCTGCCGATCGGGCTCTGTCCCTTCCTGACCTGGCTCTCTCCAGGTTGTCGCCCCGCTCCTGGCAGCAGCCCTCGTTCGCCGAATTCTCGCAGCTTGCAGCCCGGGGTTCCCAGACTAACCTTGGATGTCGCCTGGCCACTTCCCCCCTTCTCTCCGCTCCAGGCTTGCTGCTGCCGCTGCGCTTGGTCTCTCCCGCGTCCGCTCGCTCCTTGGCGACCCCAGGCGCGCCCGTGAAATTCGAATCAATGGTGTACTATATCAATATATAGCTAACAGCATGTACCGAGATTGGATGAGCGAGCCGTTTGCGGCACGTTTGTCAAATAGGCTCCTTGTCTCAGTTGACGAGGCCGTGCATGCCCAGGGGCCAGAGGTTCGCTCGACGCTCGCCACGCTGTCCCCGACAGTTGTATTTCAGGTCATTCGCTTTTCAACCGGAACGTGGACGACAGCTCGCAGGTTTCAGCCGATAGAATCATGTAAGTTTTGCCTAGATCCAACCGAATCTCTCGGTCACGTATGGTGTTGTCCTGACTTTATTGCTCTCGTCCCTTCTGTTCTTGTTGAGCTATCCTGCCCCCCTTCCTGCTCGCCTGTCGCCCGCGTCGGTCTCGCCAACCAATCTCCGAGTCTCTTTTGATTCCAGCCGCAGTGACGCTGCTTCACCATCAGCTTCGTGGCATCCACAGTGGTGCTCCAATTCGCCTTGATCGGGCACAACAAGCTGCCCCGACCGTCAGGTGGCAGCTGCCCCGCGTGTGGCGGCGATGAGGAGATGAACCTGCGTGGCTGCCTCGGCCACGCGTGAGGGGGAGGAGTAGGATGAGCAGGGATTTGGACGCGAGGGAAGGGAGATGAGGAACAGGGAGTGGTGATGATACTGGTTCCGATGTCGTTGCTGGGGGCGACGATGATGATGATTGTGGCGGTGGTGATGATGTTGATGAGAGGGGTGGTGCCGACGGTGATCGGGATGCTGACATGGACGATGATGAGGACCATGATGAGGATATAGAGGTGATGATGCTAGTGATGGTGCTTCAACTGGTGCAGATTCAGACGAAATGGTGATGTCAATGGCAATGTTGTGAGACTGTCGATGGTTCTTGGCAATGGCAATGATGCCGCCGCTGCCGACAACGACGAATTTTGTGACGCAGTTGGTGATGGGGATAATGGTGATGATGTTGGCGGCGTGGTTGTTGTTGTTGCTGCTGCTGCTGTTGTTGCTGGTGTTGCTGTTGTCGTTGATGTGATTGCTGCTGTTGGGGTTGTTGTTGTTGCTGTTGTCGCTGATGATGGCGATGCTACTGATGAATGTAATGGTGGTGCTGACTATTATGCTCGTTTCTGGTATTCGTATTACAGTGGTGGTGGTGGTGATGATGATGCTGATGCTACTGCTGCCGATGCTAATCCTGATGGCCATGATGATGCTGACCAAGATGACGATACTGATGAGGATGATG